GAGGGGAATATAGGTGGGATCCGGAAGAGGCTCGTGGTCAGTTGGCGTAGTCACGGAGTGGGACCACGTTGGGTCGGCAAAGGGTACCTGCGCCATCAGCCACGTGGCTGGAGACGCTTCAAGCACACCGTCAGCCAAAGGTGTGCAGGAGAGGGGAGCAGTGGGACTGACGAGAGGGGCGCGCGGGGCACGCGTGAGGAGCAGCCGGTCCGCTGTCGGGACCAGCATAACGAGAATAAAGAGAGACGGAGACCAAACAGTGTGTCAGCGAGGTCATTTATTACACAAAAAACACAATAGCTAGCAGTTCGCGGCAGGTAACGCAATAGCGCTGTTCTGCTGGGGACAGCACCCTACTGCTGTAGGCGACGACGTGTTCGACGCCATCAACGACTTGCAAGAGCACTGCGCCAATGCCTGTATTACTGGCGTCAGTGTCTAGGATGAAGGGCAAGGTGAAGTAGGAGTAGCACAAAAGAGGGGTGCCAACATGGGCGTCGTGAAGCGCCTTGAACGCCCCATCCTCGTCATCCCCCCAGTGGAACTTAGCACCTTAAGCCCTTAAAGCATGAAGGGGCTTCGCTATTGATGCAAAGCCCTCAACGAACCGGCGGTAATAGGACGCGAACCCCATGAAGCTGCGGACCTCGCCCATAAACGTAGGCATCGGCCACATCCTCACACAATCAGTCTTTGTGGGGTCGGTGGCGATGCCTGTACGGCTGACAATGTTGCCCGAGATACCACACGGATTTCTGCAAGAGGAAGCACTTTTGGGGCTTGAATTTAAGGTTAGCGGTCCACATCCTGACAAACACAGCCCTCAGTCTATCCAAGTGTTCCTCGAACGTGCGACTGAAAACAATTACATCATCTAGATAGATGAGACATGAGTCCCACTGCAGCCCAGCGAGGACCAGCTCCATGAGCCACTGGAACATCGCTGGGGCTGAGTGCAGACCCATGGGCAACCGATTGAATTAAAAAAGGCACTGCGGCGTGCGGAACGCGGTCATCAGTTTAAACAACTCGTCCAAGGGCAGTTGCCAAAATCTGGACAAAAGGTCCAAGGTGGAAAAGTACCACATCCCCACCAAGGCATCCAGTGACTCGTCCACGCGAGGAAGCGGATACGCGTCTGCCAGCAAAATTTTGTTGAGTTTCTGAAAATCCATGCAAAATCGCAAACTGCCATCATGTTTCTTGACAAGTACAATCGGTGTACCCCATGGGCTGGTGGATGGAGCCACAATGTCCGCGGCCAGCATGTCATTGACAGCCAGCCGGACATGTTCTTTCTCTGCCGAGCTCAGCCAAAACGGATTCTGCCGAATGGGAACTAAAAACATCAGCGAATTCACAAAGTAACATACGCAATTGCGATCGCTGGGACTTGGGAAGATTTCCAGCCCCCGAACAGAGGGAATCCAACCAACCGTCGTCGGGGTCAGAATGTGCTTCGGACCGAGGTGTACCATCCACATGTGCCACGACGGAGTCAGTGTGGAGTGGCAGCGATGCGTGAGCAATAACCGCCCCCTTGGGGCACGACCTTTGTTCGCAACCCCGCATTCAGCACCTGGATGAAGGGTTGGCCCTCGCCAGGCACAAGCGTCTGTGCCCCCGCCAGCTCCAATCCCCGTATGGCCGTGTTGGATGGAGCCAGTAAAATACCCGATGCCATCCCTGACCCGAACGGTTTCCGCAGCCGAAGCGGAATCAACATTTGCGCGCCTGGCGGAATCCAGACTGTCTGGGATGCCATCGCTTGAACGGTCACGCAAGTCGTGCGTAGCCGGGTGGGTGAGAGCAGGAACGACATCCGGCAGCCCGATTGGAGCTCAATGCAGCCTTTGTCGATCATGATTTTCATGGGCATTTTGCCGAGGAAATCTGTACCCAGCAAACACGGGACGGCAAGGGTCTCGGAAACCAAGATGGGACCCGTTAATTTAATATCGCCAATACAAATCTTGGCCATTATTTGGCCAATTATTCCCAGGGAACCTCCGTTTTCTGCGAAGCAAGAGACCGAAACCGGGGTGAGCGACTGACACCTCTGGGGCAGCACGTTGTAAATGAGGTCCGAAATTATGGTTGCCGAAGTGCCCGTATCAACCAGTAGCCAAAATTCAACCCCTTCAATGGCGCTGATGATAATGGAGGAGCCTGTAGCTGCAGTGACGACCCTATGGGCCAATTCTGACCACTGAACTGGCCGGAGTGGCTTCCGAAAATCAACCCCATTCCTGCCCTGACCCCTCAACATAACGCGACGGAGCGGCACATCGAAATGAGGAGTGTGAGATGAGGGCAGGGGCCGAATGCGTGAGGTGTCGCGACTTGTCTGCGGCTCCTGTGAAGCAGCAGGCATGCAGGGAAACGACAGCGGGCGACCCGGAGTGTGGCGTCGAGGAGCTGGGCAGCCCGACGACAGATGTCCTTACTGCCCACAGTTGTAGCACGTGACGCGCACCCGTGCCCGCGGGGAACCGTGTCTCCCCCGCCGATGCTCGCCCTGGTTTGTCGCCGGTTGGTTCATTCTCCAGCTCATGGCGTGATGTGATGCGAAGGCCTGGTTATCCAGGGCCTCGTTCTCTGATGCGGCAACGTGCCACTTGCTCGTCGCGCTGGAGGAGCAGCTCTGTGTGCAGGTAGTGTGCAGTGTGCAGTGAAGAGAGATTTGCATCGTCCTTGACGTGAATGGCGATGCGCAACTCACGAGCCAGCAGCAACATTTTCTCAAGCACGATGGCGTCAATGCCCACGTCGTCCATACGAGGGTAGGCCACTTGGGCCAATGCCATCAGCGTGCTTTGGTAGGCGAGGGGGGTCTCGTCAGCCTCCCTCTTCCGGCTTGTGAAGCGATGCCTGGTTTCCGATGGGGGCCCGTACACCAAAGCCATCTGGTCGAGGGCTTCTTGCAGCATGGAGCGATCCTTCCATGGAATGATGAGGAATGTAGCTAGGGTGGTGTCGTCCAGCACGGAAGGCAAAGCCCGATGAGCAACATCCGCAGTCCACCCCGCCGTCTCAGAGTTTGCCACGAATCGACGAGCGAAAGCTGCCCAGTCTCCGCCTCTAGCCATGAGGACTTGAAGAGACGGCATGTGCTGTTGCAGGGCAGGAATGTAGTTCCCCGCCGAGTCAAGGCGTGTACCAGGTGTGGCGTTTGCAGGGTCATCGGACGCAAGAATGTCCGACAGAAGCGGCGGTCGCATCTCAGATGACGCAGCAGTGTCGGGTTGGAGGGCGTCGAGGGCGAAAGTGCCACGCTGCCCCTGGCGCACGTGACTTCCGGTGCAGATGACGCCATTTCTGCAGGAAGTGACAAAACCCCCGGCGGAAGTGACGTTGCTTCCGGTTGTGGCGCTTCTGGCGGCAGTGACGTAACCCTTAGCCGAAGTGACATCATAACTGATAATATGTTCAAAATTAAGTGTGGGAATCCCTCGCGTAATGGCGGGAATGGCACCCGCCCGCCGGCCCAGCCCCCCACCCTCAGCAGTCAGCCTACCGAGCGTGAGCTCATTGAGGATGACGGCGGCGGCATGTAGGAGATCGGCCAGGCGAGAGTGCGCCGAGAGGATCGCCCATCCCGACGTTGGCGAGTTTCCTGACAGGCCCGGAGGTTGCGGACCCGCCGCTGCAGACCCGTCCTCCAGGAACGGCACCCCCCCCCCGCCTCCGGAGCAGCGACCTCCCTGTCCAGAACCTTGGTAAGTGCCTTCTGTATAGTCTCCATGTAGGCTAAGTTCTTGGCCACTTCTGTCACCAGTTGTAATGTTCTTGTATGGAGACGGAGTCGTCGTAAAGGCAACACGGTTTATTTATAATATAACAAGGTACACTTAATCCCTAACACAAAGGGGTAGAGGCCCCTTTCACCCACAACCTGGGGAGGTACAGCCTCCGGGCTATCGTACCTAGTCACTCTGACTTCTCCAGCCCTCCCCTAGGTCTGGCTAGACCTAGGGGAGGCTGACCCACCGCTGATACAATGGGTCCCTGACCACTGGCCCGCCTGGACCTGGCCCTCAGAAAGACATCAGGCTGAGGGAACCTCAGGGTCCTAACCTCCGACCACCGGCACCGCACTGAGACCCGGCCCTTAAAAGAACGTTGGTGGCTTGGGGTCCAGGGTCTTGTCTCCAGGCGGGCTTCTGACTTCGGCTTGAGGCAAACTGCCAAGCGCTGTCAAGAACCTGCTTTATATACCATTTCCCACTGAGGGGCGGGTCTCTGTGGGATCGCACGCATCCCCCAGCCCCCTCCCCTCAGGGGGGTCCTGACCACCGTTGGCCCAAACGGTCCGGACCGGTTTCTACCGCTCCCTACCGTGGGGCGGGGGTTCTGTGGGATCGCAGACGCTGCCCACAGCCCCCTCCCTCCGGGCAGGTCCTGGCCAAGAGTACACAACCTCCCCGTACAGGTAAGCACCGTGGTTCTGGCGCGCGTGTGTGTCAACATGACCACCACACATGTGCGTGTTGTTGACGAGCACCTATGAAGGCCGGAATGGCACACGAATGGGTGGGTGGCCAGCACGCCCGACCGCCTTTGTCTCCCAAGTGGCGATGTTTACACACCACACCAGGTACTAATTTGAGGCTGAGTCGACCTAGGGGAGGCCAAGGACCGGTTAAAATAATCGTCACCAGTGTTGGCCATGAACGGGAATCGAACCCAGGTCGCCAGTTTCATAGCGCAGGGCCCTAACCGCTACACTACCGCTCCCCAATGCAGCACGTCTCCATCATAAGTCGATTATTTTACAGGTGAACACACTCACACATACACACACACACGTGAACATACCGACACGCAAGCACACACGCCAACACAACACAAGTGAACATACCGACATGTGAACACACTCACACGCGACCACATACACACAAGTGTATATACCAACACGTGAACACACACACACACACACACGTGAACATACCGACACGTGAACACTGCTGGCCTTACACGAGTTTATTGTATTCCTCATGTGCACGCTCACCACACGCCATCGACTCAACACTACGTTCCATGATCGTGTCTTCCTATTGTCTTGGTGTCCCCCGTGTGTGTGTGTGTGTTCCTTGTGTGTGTCCCGTGTGAGTGATCTTACTGTGTGTGTGTGCGTCCCGTGTGTGTTCCTTGCGTGTGTCCCGCGTGTGTGTGCTTACCGTGTGTGTGTGTGTGTGCCGTGTGAGTGTGCTTACCATGTGAGTGTGTGTGTCCCGTGTGCATATCCCGTGTGAGTGTGCCGTGTGTGTGTCCCGTGTGTGTGTGTGTCCCGTGTGAGTGTACCGTGTGAGTGTACCGTGTGAGTGTGCTTACCATGTGTGTGTGTGTGTGTGTTCCTTGTGTGTTCCGTGTATGTGTGTCCCGTGTGTGTGTACCGTGCGTGTGTGTGTGGCCCGTGTGAGCGTGTCCCTCGTGTGTGTTCCTTGTGCACGCACGCACGCGTGTCTGCGGACGCGGCCAGCACAAGCGGAAGATCACGCTTCCGTGGATGTGCTAGGCTCAGTCGCGGGTTGAGACGGGCTCTCGGTGCCCAATTGGTGGTATCTCGAGTTGACGTCGATCCAGAAATCCATGTATTCGCGGCGCAGGTGCTGCTTGACGGAGCTGTAGTCTATTTTGCTGGTGATGTCCAGGTACTGCTCTGTGTTCGCGTCGTAGACCGGCCAGTGTGTGGGCACCGCCGTGCCCCCATAATTCGGGTCCCTGCGAGCGCGCGAGAACAAAGAATTGGTGAGGGCCCCGGGTGGCGCCGCCGTCGCTACTCGGAGGTGCGGGGCAAACACAGAAGTCGTCATCAGCGGCAGCGGCAGCCACGCGGTGGAAAGCGGTCGCTGTTACCAACAATTGCAATTGCCCAAAGCTCTGCGGTCCTCTACATATGGCGGTGTAATCGGCCAATGGTTGAGTGTTTACGCGCGCGGGAGGAAGCTGGAGCGCCTGGAGGAAACCCACGCGTGCGAGGGGGAAACACTCTATCCCATGAGAAGTGAGTTGTGGAGCGGATGGAGATTGGTTCCGACTTTGCTGTGTTGCCATCTACTGGCAGAGCCAGGGGTAGGTCTCCTCCGAGACGCCCGGAACATGGGTAGAAGGGAGTTTCACGTCAACATCTGTGGTGTGCGGTGATCCACCAACAACCTCGCTGCTGCTGTCTGCACAGCACCGCTGAATCACAGGCAAGCCACGCCACATGCAGCAGCAGCAACAGCAACGTAGCCCTCATCACTACAGCCCGCTATAAACCCATCATCACTTGGCGCCGTGGACCATCACCCACCGCACACGCCATGGCAGCAGTAGATGCGCATGATACCTTTGACGCACGAATGGAAATTTTAAAACTCTCTGGTAGCGGTGCGGTGACTGTGGTCATCCAGAACAGACGCGGTGCAAGGTCGAACAACACATCACAGCGATACAAAAACTCTGCTGGATCCTGGATCGGTTGTCTGGGCTTGACCACCTGAATGTGACAATTGTAGTCGTTGGCTCTGCACCTACATCAGCAGCAGCCATCACGTTAAAGATCCCGCGGCATCATCCTGGGACATTGTGTGCCGGCCGGAGACACGGTTCAACTTTGCCAAAATTTGGAAAATCTACACCAGTGAATCGATCGATCGGTCGGGTCGGGGAGGGGGTCGAACTTGCGCAACGCAACGTCGTGCTCTGCTCTGCAGCCCAACAGTGATGCTCTGCACAGCGCTCTTCGTACTCAGTGAAAATAATAGTGGTAAATCATAACTTATATTTGCCCAGTGGAACATTCCGCCCGGAGATCCCAATGCGCCACCTTGTGTGGAAAGGAGGAAATAGAAGCTAAAGGGTACACGGCCAGAACGAGACGGGGGGTAAAGGCCGGCTTACTCACTCAACCCACTCACTCACTCAACCCACTCACTCACTCACTCAACCCACTCACCCACTCATTCACCTACTCACTCACTCACTCACCCACTAACTCACTCACCCACAAACTCACTCACCCAGTCACTCAACCCACGCACTCACTCAACCCGCTCACTCACTTAACCCACTCACCCACTCATTCACCCACCCACTCACCCACTCATTCACCCACTAACTCACTCAACCCACTAACTCACTCAACCCACTCACCCACTAACTCACTCAACCCACTCACTAACTCACTCAAAGATCCCTCACAACACGATTGCTGTATCAAGTAAAGAAGATCTTTACTTGATGCAGCAATCGTGCTGTGACGATTCCACCTGAAGACGAAAGTCACCTACGTGACTTTACTGAAAAAACCTAAGAGTATGAATCCTTGCAGTCACGAAAGCTTCAAATCTAGAATCTATGGGCAGTGCTGAGTCTATGGGTAGTGTTGAATCTATGGGCAGTATTGAGTCTATGGGTAGTGTTGAATTTATGGCCAGTGTTGAGTCTATGGGTAGTGTTGAGTTTATGGGCAGTGCTGAGTCTATGGGCAGGGTTGAGTCTATGGGTAGTGTTGAGTCTACGGGCAGTGTTGCGTCTATGGGCAGTGTATGAGTCTATGGGTAGTGTTGAGTATGGGCAGTGCTGAGTCGATGGGCAGTGTTGAATCTATGGACAGTGTCGAGTCTATGGGCAGTGTTGAGTCTATGGGCAGTGTTGAGTCTATGAGTCTATGGGAAGTGTTGAGTCTATGGACAGTGTTGAGTCTATGGGCAGTGTTGAGTCTACTGGCAGTGTTAAATATATGGGTAGTGTTGAGTCTACGGGCAATGTTGAAAGTTTAAATAAATATTAGATGATGCTACGTTATGTGCTAGCTAATTTACTTCAGTCAGCTAACTGGCCCTCCAGTTAGCTGACTGAAAAATGCTAACGTAGGCGGCTAGGCCAGCTTAAAGGCTCCGGCGTGTCAAAGAATACGCCCAACATGGCAAACTCGAAATCTGATTGGTTAAATAATATGACGATCAACAACATTGTCCCCATTTGCTTCAACAGCAGAGGTGATTCACTCAACATTCTGAAGGCCTCAGGGTAGATTTTTCACCCAGAGACGTGGAGACAGTACAGGTGGAAAATCTGATTGGATAAAAGCTCTAATTTAGGAATTACGTTTTCAGGTCCATATGGCGTAAAAACTTTCAATACGGGCATTTGTTGTCTATTTGTTTGTGTTTCTCTCCTTGTGATGGGACTTTGTAGGATGAACGTTGAGATTTATAAGGGGCACGGGGTGACCAATAAGGTTTGAATTGGTCTGTAATAAGATAGACACTGATAAGGGGTTGACAGGTACGTGTATGTTTGTTCAACTTCATTCGCACCGCACGTAGCCAACTGTACTAATCGGAGGTGCAGGGGAAGAACAACAAACTAAACACAAAGAATAAGTTTTAAAGAAACGAGTTGGTCAATCTAGATGATGATTTAAAAGTGCGCAGCTCCCAGTGGCTTCCTAATATCAGAAGGGAAGAGCGTTCCAGACGGCCGCAGAAGCACATCCGAACGCGCCGCGCAATGTAGCGGTGACCACCGCCTTTGATCGATGGCTTAACCAGAAGGCGCTGCTTTGTCTCCCCGCCAGTGCTGATGTTTACGCACAAAACCGAGTACGCTCGTTTTCAGGCTGAGTCTACCTAGGGGACGCCCAAATAATCGGCACCGGTGTTGGTGGCCGCGAGCGGGAATCGAACCCAAGTGGTTTAAGTCACGTGGCTCCACATGACACGAGTCATATAGTGGGGAGAAAAAAAATCTACGGATTTACCCTGTATCCGGAAATAACACGGGAGGTGTTAAGGTGTTCAAACACGCAATAGAAACCTAAATATCGCAACGCACCACCAAGTCTGCATCGACCGCACATCGTGCTTGTGGTAAGACAGGCACACAAACACGCCTTGATAATAACAATCATGGAGGCAGTGTCCTTGAAACCGCTTTGCCTGCACCAGAGCTACACAGCCTCGTCAATAGCCTTGCCTCTGCACCGGTGTTAGGCCTGGAGAACAACGCCAAAATGTAGACAGCACAGAGGCTGCGCAAATATCAAAGCGCTAATATTTGGGTTCGGGCTAGTTGTGTCTATGGGATCCTTATTGCCGGTATCAGATGATAGAAAAAAATCTTCGCCTTTTAGCCTTTCCGACAATAATACAGGACGCGTTAAGATGTTTAAACACCAAAGGGTAATAAAAGCCTATCCATATTCTTGATTCTTTCGGTAAAGTCACGTAGAAGGTAATAATAAATAATAAAAATATTTATAATACAAATTCTCACGATGTTTCGACTGCAACACAATCAATCATCATCAGTCGTCCCTTCTACGTGACTTTACCGAAAGAACCAAGAATATTAATCCCTGCAGTCACGAAAGCTTTAAATCTAAATTTTAAAGCATATCCGTTTTTCTTGATACCGGCAAAAAGGGTCCCATAGATACGACTTACATACTACAGCATTAATAACAATAATGGTCATTGTTGTCTTTTTACATGAGCAGGTGTGCATGTGGCAAGGTGACCACGCATGCAAGGTGACCAGGCGTGCAGGTGATCAGGTATTGGAAGTGACCAGGTGTGCAGGTGACCAGGTATTGCAGGTGACCAGGTAGTGCAAGGATGAGTGCAGGGCGAGCGAGGCGAGGGCGCTCTCCGCGTCTCCGTGCTTCTCACGTGGAGTGCTGCGAGTGCATCCGCAGGAGGCTCTGGCAGGGCACGACGAAGAGGAAGTCGGTCTCGAGCTCCACGACGGCGCGCGCTGCCTCCTCCGAGAAATCGGCCACCTGCTGGTCGTGCGAGTAGTGGTTCGACACCTCCAAGCCCACGTCACGGTGGCCCTTCGCGAAGCCCATGGCCAATTTGTAGATGTCCATCCTGGAGGTGGGAGGAGGGGGGGGGTAGGATACGAGGGGGGGGGGAGTAGTTGGGGTTGTTGTGGGTTATTAGATCAGATGTCAGTGATTAGTTGAACCGTAAATGTTTTGGTTATGGGTTAGAGCACGCAAATATAAAAACCTGCCACCACCCGACACAGCCAATCAGTGAGGTTTGTCACGTGAACCAAACGTGCTAATTAGTTACTTCTTCAGCACCACGGTGGCTAGGAGATGTTTACTACCTCGCCTGATATGCAGGAGGCCCGTGGGTTTGATCCCAACCCTGACCACCTGTATAGTTGGAGTTTGAATGTTCTCCCCGTGGACGTGTGTAATTTTTCTCCGGGTCCTCCTGTTTTTCCCTCCACACTTAGAATCAACATCACGCGTTCAGACTATTTGGCTGCTTAGTAAATGTCCACACGACGATGATGAGCCACTTCGTTAAGCGATCATTTGTGGCCAGGTCGCCTCTGAAAACGAGCCATATAGCTCAGTGGGTCTGACCTGGTAAAATTACAAAATAGTTATGAAAATAGTAATAGTTCTTCTCCAGCACAGCTGATGTAGATGGTGATGTAATGATGATCATTGTTATTGTTACCCTACTTTTTCCAAGGAAGCCTCAAGATTCTGCGAGAAGGGTCCTGCTGAGTCTTCGCAGTAGGGGGCGACGGTGCTACGTGTACCCGAACCCTCAGCACCTGTCATCGAATGTGCAGGTGATTTTGCAGCATTTAGGATTAACATAATGCGAATCTCTCACATTAACATAGCCACTTCCGTGCCCTCGTCATAGGAGGCGCTCTCCTCATATCTGACAGTTACATGTTAATTTCTCACATTAACATCATACTAATCCCTCACATTAACATAGCCACTTCCGTGCCTTCGTCTAGGAGGCCGCTCTCCTCATATCTTACAGTTACATGCCAATTTCTCATATTAACATCACTAGCCCCGGCCACTGCTTTACACCCATTCAAACCTTTTTAAAACAGTCTGACTCAGCAGCATACCGCGCTTTCTCACCTGATGATGGACGCTTGTGTTGCGCCCGAAACGTTGTGATTTATTATATTTTATACCTACGTGACTTTACCAAAAGAACCAACGATTAAGCATTTGGGATGTTTTGACCCAATACGCGTGACACTGGGCATGTGGGGTTTTAGCCCTGAGCAGGGAAACCGGAGAACCCAGGAGGCTACCCATGCCGGACAGGGGTAGAGATAGCACAAACTCCGCTCTGCTCTCGTACAAACACCAAGATCCCCCGTGTAGCCTTAACAGACTGTTGGGGCGAGTGCTGTTAGCGAAGCAGCGCCTACGAGAGGATGGGTGGCCAGCACCATGCCCGACCGTTTTCGTCTCTCCAGTACTCATTTGAGGCTGAGTCGACCTAGGGGAGGCCCAGGACTGCTTGAAATAATCGTCATCGGTGTTGGTGACCGTGAGTGGGGTCGCTGGATTCGTAGCGCAGCGCGCTAACCGCTGCACCACCGCTCCCCACACACGACCTCACACGACAGGACATGGGGACAGACAAACTCCACACGTTCACACATTCACTCAAATTCGCACTCACGCTCACAGACACACACACTAACATTCACATATTCACTCACATCCACACACTCACGCTACTATCCAACAAAGACGGAGGGCAGAGGAGAGACGCTCACAGCAACGAGCGGAGCGCCAGGCGGTTAAAATGCAGCATATTGGCACCTCCAATTAACACGTACGATGAAAAAGAGGTTAAACATACGTACATAGGGGTTACAGCTGGTGCATCTGCCAGTCATTTCAGAAATGAGTTTTCTGGATTGAAAACTAATTTCTTTATAATTGCTTTTTGTGATTATTTTGTTGTCCTTCCCACGCACCACCGATTAGCACGGTTGGCTACGTACGGTATGAAAGAAGTTCAACATACGTACATTCATACGTACATTCGCGGCACCTGGGGTCTGTCACGTGACCCTCCCGCACCTAGCCTGGCACAGCAGTCAACCCACGGGACCTGGTGTCTGTCACGTGACCCTCCCGCACCTAGCCTGGCACAGCAGTCAACCCACGGCACCTGGGACCTATCTCGTGACCATCCTGTCAGCGAGCAATCCTTCGACACTTCATGCGATGGCCTCAAAGCGCACCTGGGCCTGCTGGCACAAGCGGCTGTAATACGAATAAAAGCGAACACTCACATGCAGCTATGATGAAATCGGACATTGTAAAAGCAATTTTTTAAGGCATAAAAAACGTGTTTTTTTGCATAGCGAATCAACATAGCAGTCTCATCTAGTGCTATAACAGACTGACAAAACAAATATCGTAATAAAACCCCGTTACTGTAGCTCCGTTAACGGCTGGTTTTAAGATTTTTTTCAAGAAGACGGTCCTGAGTTGACCGGGGCAGAGTCGATGTTTTTCGGGGACAAAATCAATATTTTTGGGGGGCAGAATCGATGTATTGGATCACAATTATCGATCCAAAACACCTAACGCACACCCTTTTGACGTCACGACACAGATACGCCCACTTCCAAGTGCCCCCTTGGGTATCGCGTCACAGCGCCTTTGTGACGTCGTCACCACCACGTAGGGAAAGGGGGAAATGGCGGGTGCTGTTGTCTGTTCACTGGGAGCTGCGCACTTTTAAATCATCATATAGATTGACAAACTCGTTTCTTTAAAACAGATTTTTTTGTGTTTAGTTTCTTGTCCTTCCTCCGCACCTCCAATTATCACAGTTGGCTACGTGCGGTGCGAATGAAGTTCAACGTACATACACATACCTATCAACCCCTTATCAGTGCCTACCTTATTAAAGACCAATTCCAAACCTTATTTGTCACCCCGTGCCCTATAATTCTCAACCATCATCCTACAAAGTCCCATTACAAGGAGAGAAACACAAACAGACTAACTTCATTTTTTTGCCCGTGTAATAAACCTTCTTGAGACGGCTTCCGGAATCAGTCCTTTTTATTTTCAACTTCCACAGTTACACTTTACTCACACACTCTCCGTTGTTGGCAGACAACGGAGAGAGGGCAGACTTCCCGCCAAGTCCCCACCGCGCACGTGGCACCCAGAGCCCCCCGTACGCTCTCTCTCTCTCTTAATCCCTTCGTCACGTGGTACCCCCCAGCCAATCTTCCATAGACAGCGTTGACCGTTCCCGATGGTTCCCTGTCAATCCCGGGACCATGCCTCTGATCCGGCTCCCCATTAGCTGAGGCCCCGAATGGCCAGGCCAATCACACCTGCTAACATGCCATGATCACGCCGAGGCCATGCTCCCTGGCTCATCCCTTATTGGCTACAAAGCAGGACCGGTAAGCCAATCCCCACGTGAACCCTTTATGGCTGTTATTAAACCCGTATTGAAATGGCTTTACGCCATACGGACCTGAAAACTCAATTTCCCTGCAAAAGAATACGGGGTAAACCATATGGATTTACACGGTATGCCTGCTGCTGTTCCTGCTGTTGTCATCGTCAGCCCACCTGGTGGTCTTGTCCTTAGTGTTGATGAATGGCACGTCCATGCCTGCGAAGAGGTGTCCGTCCATGTTGTTGACGCCCGCCATGTAGTCGATCCGCGCCGCGTTGCCCATGAGGAGGTGCGGCTCCTCGGGCAGGAAGTCGCCGTCCACCACGGCGCTCCACGCCAAAGAGTCCACCAAGGGACCTACGGTACCAGGTGACGGTCAGGGGGGAGGGGTGGCAGGTACAGTGCGGTGAGGGTGTGTGGTCCAGGGTGTGCGGTGAAGGGTGTGGAAAGGGGGTTCGGTGAGGGGTGAATGGTGAGGGGTTGTGCTGTGAGAGGGGTACAGTGAGGGATGCCCCTAATCTACCGTCGACGTCCTTACTAATTACGCTACTTCGAAGGGCCACTGCCCAAAACGTCGTCAACTATGAATGTTTCCTGGGGAGGCCACACAGGAGCAGCGTTCCTGTGGCCCTTGCGGGAGGCCACACAAGCATTTTTAGGCCACACGGGCGCTGTTAGGCCCTCGTGGGAGGCCACACGAGTATTGGTAGGCCACACGGGTGTTGTCAGGCCCTCATGGGAGGCCAAACGAGCATTGTTAGGCCACACGGGCGTTATTAGGCCCTAATGGGAGGCCAAACAGTTGCTGCTAGGCCACACGGGTGCCGTGAAGCCCTCCTCACCCGTGGTGGAGGGCATGACGAGTTTTATGGCGTGCACCACGTCCACGGGGTTGCTGATGCGCAGGCAGCCCATGAGGCGCGCCGAGTCGTCCGTCGGGCAGCCCACCACCTCGGCCACCTGGACAGAGACAACATTCCCCCCCCCGTGTAGCCTTTCACACAGCCGTGTACACTAGGGGCAAGTGCTGTGAGCGAGTATGGTCTGTTCTCCTATGGTGTTCCTGAAGAGCACCGCGTTATGTTGGGAAATCGCCTCAATAAATGTATAATATAGGGGTAAAGCGCAGTCGGCAATAACGCGTGAGATGCGTAGTACGCAGGCTGAACAAAGACCGAGGCGCACGTGGATAGCATCTAGAAGCATCCAGCAGCATCCCAATGCCTTGCGCAATGCTACGCCGAGGCAGCCGTACGACCACTAATTCCCACTCGCACTGCGACGTAGTTCCGTTCTCTCGATTGTGTCATATCCAATTCGCGTTCTAAAAACGAGGCGCTAGAGGAGAACAGAGTCTGTGTCGCCTCTGAAGGCCGAGTACCGGCGCACCTATGGGTGATGGCCAGGACCAAGCCCGGGGCCGCCTTTGTCTCTTCCAGTGGCGATATTTACACATCGCACCGGTGTGATGTTTACACATCGCACCAGTGCTGTGTTTGTGTCTGTGTGCGTGGTGCGTGTGTGTCTGTGTGTGTGCTGCTCGTGCATGGTGTGTGTGTGAGCTGCGTGCATACTGTGTGCATGGTGCTGTGTGCGTGGTGTATGCTGTGTGCGGTGTGCGCTGTGTGCGGTGTGCGCTATGCGCGCGTGGTGCATGTGCGAGTGTGCGTGCCTTGATGGCCCAGGATAGCGGGTCCCTCTCTACGGCCCACGAAGCAAGGGCCGACCCACTCTGACTGATGGCGCGACGGATGATGCCATGGTTGACCGGAGACAGCATCTGTAACGACATCATCACCCCCCATCGTGATCATCATCATAATCATCATCCCCCCTCGTCATCATCTCCATAATCATCATCCCCCTTCGTGATCATCATCACAAACATCACCCCCCTCGTCATCATCATCATAATAATCACCCCCCCTCGTGATCATCATCACAGTCATCACCCCCCTCGTCATTATCATCATAATCATTACCCCTCCCCTCGTGATCATCATCACAATCATCCCCCCTCGTCATCATCAACATAATCTTCACCCCCCTCGTCATCATCATCATCCTCAATATCATCTTCGTCGTGAACCTAGGGGGCTTTACTTTGGCCAGCCTGTTGAAAAGCCAGCAACATTTTAATTTTTATTTACAACGTTGTCTGACGTTCGCACTGGAGATTTACATGGAGCATCGTAAGGCGTCGATGGACGCCCAAGATCCACGCAGGAGTGGAGCGTCTGGTTCACAGACGAATTTGCCATTCGTGGCTTCTCAACGTTCCTCCTATCTCTGCTTTTGCCTGATGAAGCACGTTGATCACCGGGTCACGCTTTCCCACGACTTTACTTGATTGGCTCTGTCGCCGGAACGTGGAGGGATTTCCACTTATTTATGTATTACGTGGTTTGAGCCAATCTTGATTTGAAGCTTTCGTTACTGCAGGAATCCATACTCTTTGGTTCTTTCGGTAAAGTCACGTAGGCAAATTGTATTTTATACCTACGTGGTTTGAGCCAGCAGGACATGATTGGGCCAAAACCTCGCCCACTGTTCACCCAGTTTCAATGTATCTCGATGCGTCTGTATGTACAGTATCTCTGTGACTCTCTCTATGTAGCTCGATGTGTTTTTATCAGTCTCTGTGTTTCTGTATCTTTATGCGCTCTCTACGTATCTCGAATAGGCTATATTAGACTGTATGTGTCTCTATGAGTATCTGTGTAACTATTAGTCTCTATGAGTCTCTATTAAGCAAACTCCTGCCCCCCCCCCCATATATAAGTAAAACTTCGCCTGTGTAATAACGCATTGTCCTTGAAGGCTGATTGGCCTGCACCAGAGCTACAGCCTCCGCGATGGCTTCTTTTTCTCAGCGGTGGTAAAACTCCTTAAACCCGAGCTAACGAATGCTATGGCGTTTGCATGGCCCTTGTGCTGTCCGCTTTCTCGTGTCCTTTGCTTTGTGACGCATCTTAACACCCGCCGGATTATTGCCAGAAAGGGTGAAGAGTTTAAATCATCATCACGTATTCAGACATCGGTCGGGGAACCCTCCACACACACTGAGTCGTGGCGATATTTCTCACGAGGCTCCCGCCTCAACGTCGGTTGAAAAATGTTTTAAAGATGTTTTCAGCCAATGAATGACACGTGGGAGGACACCATCATCATGCCCTCCCCCCATCACCACCATGCCTCCCCCATCACCATACCCCCCCCCCCCCCATCACCACACCCCTGTCATCACCATGCCTCCCCCATCACCATACCCGCCCCCCCATCACCACACCCCTGTCATCACCATGCCTCCCCCATCACCATACTCCCCCCCCCCATCACCACACCCCTGCCATCACCATGCCTCCTCCACCCCCCCCCCACCATCACCATGCCCCCCCCTTCTCCCGCACCTGCAGGGAGACGCTGGCGCCCCCCGCGGACTCTCCGAAGATGGTGATGTTGTCGGGGTCTCCACCGAACGCGCGGATGTTCCTCTTCACCCACTTGATGGCCGCGTGCTGATCCCACAGTCCGTAGTTACCTGGGCGACACAAAGACCCCCCCCGCGCCATCTAGCCTCGCGAATACCAGGGCGAGTGATACCAACGCACGTCCCCACGTGTCTCTCTGTGTGTTCCCCCTCTGCGTCTCACCCATATTACTGTGTCCCACACCCCCTCCCCCCGGTATACTCATGTTCCTCCATCTCCTCCAGAGTGCCCTATGTCTCCCGCATGTCCTCGCTGCGGTAGCTAGGAGATGTTAACTACCTCGCCTGGTATATAGAGTAGGAGATCGTGGGTTCGATCCAGACCCTGACGCCTGCTGCTGTGTATTTGGAATTTGCGTGTCTCTCTCTCATCATCATCACGGTGGCTAGGAGATGTGTTGACTACCTCGCCTGGTATACAGCAGGTCATGGGTTCGTTCCAGACCCTGATTCCTGTTGTATATTTGGAGTTTGCGGTGTCTCGCTCTCCCGCCGTGGTTTCGTGGATTTTTCTCTGGTGCCTCCGGTTTTCCCCTCCACGTTTAGAATCAACACCACGCATTTCGAGTATTTGTCTGCTATAAATTTCCACATGATGATGAGCCACTTCGTTGGGCTATCACTGTCTTTATATTACCGTGTGTGTATATTTGTTTTCTACTCTTAAGCACAGACGCGATTATTTGTTTTTGAGACCCTCTCTGCAGAACATCAATTCTCAAAAAGTTGAGATTATTTGGTCGTGATAAATTTCCACGTCATGATGATAAACCACGTCGTTGGGCTATTATTTGTGAAAGCCAGATTGCTTCCGACAAAGAGCTGCATAGCTCAGCGGACCTTACCTGGTAAAATAAAAATAAGAAACCGCCACTTTTTTAGACATAGAGTTGTAATGTGTAGTGACTTATTGTTAGTAGCTCAACTGATTGGAGAGTATATTGAGTTTATTGATAATATTAATGTAGTTTATATTTTAGCTTTTTTATCAGTTTACTCTATGGTATTCATTATATAGTGTAGTGTATACCCAGTTACTTAATGTTAATAGCTCAGCTTATTGGAGAGTATATTGAGTACATTGATTATATTAATGTAGTTTATATTTCGTTTTTCACATCGGTTTATTATATGGTAGTAGGGTATTTGTAGTTCTTTAGAAACTCCTTTTTTGTTTTCCACATAATGCACTAGCTTGATACGCGGTGGTTTGGCTGCTGTAATTCTTTATTATTATTACTGCTAATCCTACGTAATACACTAGCATAATATGACTTTGAGACCCCCCACCGCCTACACATTCCACAAGGAGTGACGAACCCCATATCTGCATTTTTCATCAATATGCAAAATTTCTGTTGATATGTAAACTCCTTTGTCAAGGCTCTCTCCTCCCACCCAGCTTAAAATACGCTGCCAAGTTTATCAGTGTTCATTAAGACGCTGTCTTTCCGACAGCTCTGTTTCTTCACCTGAGGATGGCTGCTTGCGTTGTGGCCGAAACGTCGTGAAAATTTCATTTTATTATGTTTTATTAATATATTATTATTTCCCATCTACGTAACTTTACCGAAAGAACCAAGAATATGAATCCCTGCAGTCACGAAAGCTTTAAATCGAAATTTAAAATAAAAATTGTTTAGTTGATATCATTGCCTTTTAACTATCCCAAGAACAAGAATTTGAGTAGGTGACAAAGCCTTTGCCATTGCAGCACCAACGTTTTGGAACAACCTTGTTTCCTCCCTGAACATCATACATTTTCCTTGCATTGAATTGATCTTGGTTTTTGGGTGTGCTACATCTCTTGCGAGGGACACTACCTACAGCAACACCCCGGTTTACATCGGGGATGCGTTCCTCAAAGGTGCGATGACGAATATCAAAGCGACGTGAATCAAAGAGAAAAAAATTGTTGAGTTTTTAGCTTGGTTTAGTGTCCCGTGGCTCCCCCCCTCCCTCCCCCACCGTTTTGCTCCCACGTGTCCCCCCCACCCCTCACCGGGCCCGTGCTCGTCGCCCGTGCTGAGGAAGCCCAATGGCCCCAGACGGTAGTTGAAGGTCACCACGATGACCTTGCCACGGTCAGCCAGCTCCTGGCCGTCGTAGAGGAAGTTGTCGAGGAAGCTGGCGCCTTGGCCTGAGCCGAAGATGAACGCGCCCCCGTAGATCCACACCATCACGGGCAGGTCATTTGACACTAGGAGGAAGGGGGGGGGGCAGGGGGGGAGCGTTGGGGATGGGGGGGGGTGTGAGATGGCCGGTCGGTGTTCCTGTAGTGGGCACTCTCCTCATAAACACGCGTAGGCAGATAAGCATTCTCGTCCGTTTATTCCACCTTCTCCATCACAGACAGCTCCCTCCTTCATCCGCAGCTCTCTCCTCTCTATCCACAGTTCCCTCCATTGACAGCGCTCTCCTCTCCATCCACAGCTCTCTCTCTCTCTTCATCCACAGCTCTCTCCTCTCTATCAACAGTTCCCTCCATCCACAGCGCTCTCCTCTCTATCCACAGCTCTCTCTCTCTCTCTTCATCCACAGCTCTCTCCTCGCTATCAACAGTTCCCTCCATCCACAGCGCTCTCCTCTCTATCCACAGCTCTCTCCTCGCTATCCACAGTTCCCTCCATCCACAGCGCCCTCCATTATCCACAGCGCTTTCTCTTCATCCACAGCTCTCTCCTCTCGATCAACAGTTGCCTTCATCCACAGCTCTCTCCTCCGGTCCCTCCTCCGACGTCACCTCTTATCCCCACAGTCCTCTATGAATTCTAAACTATAAAAACAAACTCTGTATTTTACCAGGTAAGGCCCACTGAGCTATATAGGTCTTTTTCAGAAGTGACCTGGCCACAAATGATCGCTCAACAAAGTGGCTTGTCACCGTGTGGAAACTTATAGCCTGAGCCAAAAACTCTACAAACGCGCGACGTTGATTCTAAATGTGGACAGAATAAACCGGAGGACCAGGAGAAAAATCCACGCAACCACGAAGAAAGAGAAAGTGCGTTCGCACGTTCACTGTAAACATACCCCCCCCCCCAACACTCACGGCATCACACCATTGCAGCACATTCACCCCGACTCAGCTGCCTTCCACGTGCGTGCCACTCTCCCTCTTTCCCACGTGCGTGCCACTTTCCAATTTTTTCCAGGTGCCTCCCACTTTCCCACTTACATGTGCGTGCCACTTTCCCTCTTTCCCACGTGCGTGCCAATTTCCGTCTTCCACGTGCGTGCCACTCTCCCACTCCCACGTGCGTCTACACATCCCGCACAGGCGGTACTTACCTTTGACGCCGTGCGGCACCCAGATGTTGAGGTAGAGGCAGTCCTCAGACCCCCGCGTGTCCGTCTGGCTCAGGGTAGCCTGCAGGCAGCGGTCGCGGTAGTTGTAGGCCTTCAGGGTACCTGGAGCGCGCTCCCCGCACGTTCACGCAACAAAGACAAAGATCGCCCGTTGTAGTCCTTAAGACTGTTGGGGGGGGGGGGGGCGAGTGCTGTTAGCGACAAGCAGCGTCTATGAAGGTCGGGCACGGCACACGAGAGGGTAGCGGTGGCCAGCAACCACGCCCGGCCGCCTTCGTCTCCACACCCCCTCCCGCCCCGGTGGCGATATTTTGACACGTGGCAATCAGATTCTAATTTGAGGCTGAGATGACCTAGGGGAGGCCCAGGACCGATTCAGATAATCGTCACTGGTGTTGGCCTTGAGAAGGAATCGAACTCGGGTGGCCGCGCTCGGAGCGTAGTGCGCTAACCGCGACAGCACCGCTCCCCACCAGCACAACACACACAGAAACACACAGACACACACTCGCACACAACAACAACCGCCATTCGCCACTAAGTGGCGGTGACGTCACCACGACGCTTGTGCCAGGCCATGTGCACCTTCAGGCCACGTGAAGTGTCGAACGCCCGCTGGCAGGAGGTCACGGGGCAGACCCAGGTGCCACGGGTCGATTGACTGAGATGACCGAGATGACTGGCTGATGCACCACCTGTGCCCCCTACTGTGCCAACTTGCTGTGCTTTAGCCACCCGGCGCTCCGCTCGTTGTTGTGAGCATCGCTCCTCTGCCCTCTGTTGTTGTTGGAGTGCGACTGCCTCCAACTGCCCAGTAGCGTCCTTCACGAGCCTCCTCAACAGAGGCCGATCTTGACACTGCTGGTACCAGTCATCGGCAAGTCCACTCAGCTCCACGTCCTCCTGTACCACATCACTCCATCTCTTCTCCAGCCCGTGCCGCGCCCGTTTAGCCCACTCGATCCGGCCGAACAAAAGCTGTTTAGGCATGCGGTGGCTGGGTATGCGAGCTACATGACTCAGCCAACGCAGCCTTGCCTGCCGGAGGAGCTCACCGATGGGACTTTGCCCAGATCTTTCAAGGATTTGTGAGCTCCTCACACAATCCAGCCTGGTTAAACCCAGGATGGATCGTAGGCAGGCCAGCCTAAATGTTTCGAACCGGCGAAGATGCTCCATTAGGAGGGTCCACGTTTCGCAAGCGTAGAGAAGGGAGGGAATGACTGTGGCCGAGAAGAACTGAAGCTTCGTGCGGAGCGATAGACCAGGTAGCTTCCACACAGCGTTACGCAACCGACGAAAAGATATTGCCGCTCGATTGATTCGGAGTTAGACCTCTGCTGTTAAACTGGAGCCGGTCATAAGCACACTGCCCAGGTATGGGAAACTCTCCACTCTCTCCACTACTGCCCCATCACCGATTGGGAGTTGTGGGGGTGGAGTGTCCGATGGTACAACATACCCAGGCAGGTGCTTAGTTTTGGTGGGGCTGATGGTAAGGCCCCACCTCTTAGTGGCATGCTCCAGTCTCAGCAGCAGCATCTCCAACACCTCCTCTGAATGAGCAGCTATTACCAAATCATCGGCATACATAACGTGGTTGACCAATAGGGAGCCAACCCTTGATTGCACCCGGGCATCGATCAGCCTCCCATTATATCTGTACCAAATGGAAATTCCCCCGTTACAGCTATTGAAAGCTTCACGAACTACGTGGTCAAAATAGATGTTAAATAATGTGGGAGCCAGAGGACATCCCTGTCGCACTCCAAGGTGTAAAGGGAAAGGCTCTGACTCCCGGCCACGTAGTTTTACCCGGGCCCGCTCACCATCATGAAGGTCCTTAATGATCGTGAACAGAGGGTCAGGGACTCCGAAAGCACGAAGAACAGCCCAGAGCCCAGGTCTACTGATGGTATCATAGGCCTTGACCAGGTCAATAAAGCAGAGATGTAGGTCTTGTTGGAATTCCCGACACCTCTGCTGTAGCAGACGGACAGAAAATATGGCATCTGTGCAGGACCGCCCTTTCCTGAAACCGCATTGGGGCTCCGCAAGCCTCTCCTCACATGGACACACACGTTGACACACACATGGACACACACACACACACATGGACACACACGCTGACACGTGACGAGGTGATGGTGCGAGCAAGTAGGAGGAGGAGGTGGTGTGTGGTCATGGCGGGATTAAGATTTTGTAAGGCCCCTGGGCTACATGTACTGTGAGGCCACCCACCAGTAATATTTTCAAAAGGGAAACAAAGTTAAAGAAAAATTTAATTACATTTTTACAAGGCTAACAAGAAAATAAAATTCAGCATTCACAAGCGAAATCACTTTTCACTTCATCTCTGGAGGCACTCCAGCTGGCAGATGCCCCCTGGGCGGCAGCCCCTAAAGCCCCCACGCCTTGATCCGGCCCTGTGTGTGGTGGTGTTGGTGGTGGTGGTGTTGGTGGTGGTGTTGGTGGTGTTGGTGGTAGGGGTGTTGGTGGTGTTGGTGGTGGTGGTGTTGGTGGTGGTGTTGGTGGTGATGTTTGTGTTGGTGGTGGTGTTGGTGGTGGTGTTTGTGTTGGTGGTGGTGTTGGTGGTGGTGTTGGTGGTGTTGGTGGTGTTGGTGGTGGTGGTGTTGGTGGTGGTGGTGGTGTTGGTGGTAGTGGTGTTGGTGGTGTTAGTGGTGGTGTTGGTGATGGTGTTGGTGGTGTTTGTGTTGGTGGTGGTGGTGTTGGTGGTGTTGGTGGTGGTGTTGGTGGTGTTGGTGGTGTTGTTGTGTGTATGTGTGTGTGCGGGCGAAGTATTACCGCCCCATCTCGCGTGCGGCTCGGGTTTGCTGAAGGGGCGCGGAGGAGCGGCGAAGGGGATTCCCTTGAAGACGTCGACGGAGGAGAGGAGGCCCGTGGAGACGCGACGTCCCTCCACGTTGCCCCACTCGGTCGTGACCACACCCAGCTGCAACAGAGACAAAGCGGGTAACCCCCCCACGTCACACCGCGAAGCCTTTAACAAACTTCTCGAGGCCAGCTATTCGCGATGTACGCGTGCCCTCTGCGTGTGGGTGAAGGGCACGCGTATACAGGTGAGCGCACATGTGGACAGGTGAGCGAACGTGTACATATGTTTAGTGCACAGGTGAATGCACGTGTACCCATGTGAATGCACATGAGCGCAGGTGGGTGCAAAAGTGATCGCACATGTAGACCTATGTGTACAGGTGAGTGTACAGGTGAGTGCACGTGAGCGCAGGTGAGTAGACAGGTGAGGGCACGTGAGCATAGGTGAGTGCACAGGTGAGCGCAGGTGAGCGCACAGGTGGAGCACACGGGCGGAGTTCCGTCACGCACCGATGCAGCGGAGGCGCTCGCTGCGGTGGCGAGGAAGAGAACGGCGAATCGCAGAGACCCCGCCATGGCTGCTCCTCCGTTGGCTTTGTGGCTCCCACCTCACCCACGCTACCTCTTATTGAACCCGCGGGGGGGGCTCCCCCACCGCGTGATGGGGACGGTCCCAGGTGCGCCTCCCGAGGGGAGGGGTGGCCGGGTGGGTGGAGTGGTAGGGGGGGTGAGGGGTGAGAGATGTGTGTGTAGCTGTCAGTGCGCTGCGCTAAGAACCCGGCGGACCGAGTGCGATTCCCGCTCAAGGCCAACACCCAGTGACGATCATTGGAACCGGTCCTGGGCATCCTCTAGGTAGTCTCAGCCTCAAATGAGTACCTGGTGCGGTGTGGTGTAAACATCGCCACTGGGGAGACAAAGGCGACCGGGCGTGGTGTTGGCCACTCACCTCCCTCGTGTTCCGTGCCGGCCTTCATAGGTGCTCGCTAACAGCACTTTCCTCAAACAGTCTGTTAAGGCTACACGGGGGATCTTTGTCTTTGGTGTGTAAACATCGCCACTGGGGAGACAAAGGCGGCCGGGCCTGGTGCTGGCCACCCACCCGCCCCTGTTGTGCTACAGTGCCAGCCTTCATAGGTGCCCCTATTCACTAACAGCACCTTGCCCCAACAGTCTATGAAGGCTACATGGGGGATCTTTGTGTAGTGCTGAACTTAACGCGGACAACTTCTTCCTTCTCTGTCGTCACTTTATTTTGTCCAACACAACACATTTCGCCACCATCCTCCAGCTCGTTCTCCGCTTGCTCGCCGTGCTCCGCCGGCCTCGCTCGCTCCGTTCCTCCCTCTCTCTCTCTCCGTCTCTCCCGACTCCCCTCTCTGCTACTCCGACCCACTCCAGCCGTCGCTCTCTCTCGTTCAGCTTCTCCGTCTCTACTGCTACCCTATACTTCTTATTCTACTCCACTGATACTTTACGCTTCTTCTTCTGCTCTGACCGACTCTGTCCAGCTCTCAGCACAACTCCCCATCTCACTCTGACGCTCCCTTATTTATCCCCTTCCTCATTAATTTCAAATTAATTAACCAGCGTCTGCCCTGACGCCTCGCGCCAGCGGCCCCCGCCGCCACCTGCTCCGAAACCAAACTTACTGGCACCACCTTGGCCTTGACAACAACAACCGGCCAATCACTGCCCTGCATCCCATAATTGCCTAATGGGCCGTCTTTGTTTCCTCCCTTGTCCCCCAGCAACACCAGCCTGTCCCGGTACGACCCCACTGTTCCCAGCCCACACGTGTTTACAATTACCCCCCTTGGCGTGCGTTAAACCACTACATTTGTATGCGCGTGGCTTGTGTGGCACATTCCCATCGGTGAGCTCCTCTGGCCCGGCGAGGCTAAGTTGGCTGGGTCGTGTAGCCCACGTGCCCAACCACCGCATGCCCACGCAGCTTCTGCGTGACCGGGTAGAAAGATGGAGCCTACAACGGGCGCAGGCGACGGGCTGGAGAAGAGATGGAGCTGATGCGGTTCGGGAGGACGTGGAACTGCACGTAGCCTGGCACAAGCGTTGTGACGCCACCGCAACTTCGTGATGGAATGACGACTGCCGTCGTGAGAACACGGAGGGCTATTGTGCAGTGTTTGTTTTTAAACAATTCGCAGAGGGTTATTTCATTTATTTTACAGAAATTTTGTAAGCTAACTTCCATTAGCGTCGATGGATGATGCATGAATTCTCCTTTGAATCGAAAGTTAGGACTTTAAAATTACTACAAGTGTAATCTTTGAACATGTATCAATTATGTGTTGTCTCAAAACATTCAGAGTTCTTGGTCGAGTTCTGTAAATGTCATCTGAAAGGAATTTTTTTTTATAAATAATAATAGATACAATATTAACTTAAAGACTAAACAATGTAACGTTTTAATGCCCGTGTTAAAACACGTGAAATAACCCTATGTGTCCTGAGTTTTGGGTCACCCTGTATATATAATATGTATATGTGTACGCAAAACAAAGCGGCAGCCAATATATATTTCCCATGCCCGGATCTCTACGTAAAACACCAATATTTATTAAACAACCCATCAGCCACAAGACCTTATGGTAGAGTTGAACACGTAGGCTTTCACGACCAATATTATCCATACTTCAGGTTTTTTGGGTTAGATCGCATAAATATATAAATGTGTCGTTAAACTCGCCACCACCCTACACAGCCAATTAGTAAGGGTTGTCACGTAAACAGAACATACCAATTCGTCACTAGTGTAGTGACATAAGAAGGGAGGGGCTGCTGGGGGCTCTGGTACCCTGGGCGGGCCAGGCGCTTAAGCCTCTTGGCGCCAGGTGCTGGGTTCTCAGGCGGGTCAGACGCTTAAGCCTCTTGGCGCCAGGCGTTGGGTTCCCGGGTGGCCCAGGCGCTTAAGCCGCTTGGCGCCACCAACGGGGGGGGGGCTGTGTGTGCTCTGTGGGATATCTGGGGGCGCACACGGCCCCAGCCCTCGTTGGAGACTAGGCATAAAAGGGGAGCTCCCTGGACGATCAGGGCCAGTCGTAGCTCAAGACCCAAGGCCAGCCATCTGAGGACCCTGGGACGCGGTGAGAGCCAGTGGTGGGACTCTGGAACTCCCGACTCTATGACCTTGTGAGGCCGAGTTCCAGAGCGTAGCCAGAGTAGTGTATCTAGGCTGTGTATCTAGGCTGTGTACCTAGGCTGTGTACCTGGGAGTTGTTACAGAGTATCAGGACTGTTGGATTGTTGGAGTGCTGTTGGATTGTAATGAAGAAGTTACCTCTACAAGTGTCTCCGGAACCCGTTACACTAGTACAGCACACCGGTGTGTTGGAGAGCAAATACACAACATGTACAATGTATACTCTTTGGTTTTTTCGGTAAAGTCACGTAGGTAAAAAACTAAATAAAATAAATTAAAATGAAAAGAACTCAATTAAAACAAATCACGCAAAATTACTGCAGTGTATGAAGAGAGCTCTTTCTGAGATGTATGTTTGCATGTGAAATAAACCACTGCGACGACGATCTGGGCTGGTGTCTTTGTCTTTATTATTTCTTCCACAGCTGGACAGCGCCGCTTCCTCTCTCTCTCTCTGGCACGGCTGCACTCCGTTCCGTATGGCTGGTGGTTACTCGCCCCTCTCTCTCAACCTCTCCCGCTCCCGCGTGCCGCTGACAGGCGGTGCGCTGGGAGGAAGCCTCCAGCCCGCCACGTGGCCGCTGGCGTCCCGGAGGCGAGCGACGTGGTCCCGCTCTCTGACTCTACACACTGCTCCCGAGCTCTCTTCCGCTTCCCCTTATATCCCCTGGCCCACGTCACCAATCCCCGCCTAAAGCCACGCCCCCTCACGAACCTTCGAGATGGTTACTTCCCCCGAGCCTTTTGAGCTCCGCCCCTAACCTCGGCCCATCCTTCTAATTGGGTGATGGCCCAAGCGGCGGAGCCTATCCACTGATTGGCGCTCATCGATGAACTCTCGTATTACATCACCCCCCCCCCCCCCCCGGTGTAACAGGACTAGCCGTCCCGGCTAAAACAAGCAACAACAATCCGAGAGCCGTAGAGCATGACGACAATGCAACAACAAGAACAATAAAAAAAGGCGCCCCACAAGCACACAAGGCAAAGGCAGTAAGAACACAAGTAATTCACAACAGTATCGATAAGATGCATATGAACACATAATGCAAGAAGGTTTAACAGTTATTAACAAAAGGGAACAGATTTCGAGCGTGTACGCGACGCAGGGCCATCCCCCACCGCAGAGCGATGCGCCGCCGGTCCCTATGTCGCAGAAGACGGGAGAATGGGGCGTGGAGCGTTCGACTTGGTGGAAGAGAATCCCGCCGGAGCAAGATCATCCACAGCATCCGGGGCGTTCAGTGTCTGTGGGTCTGTGGAAGGCAAACCAGACCCCTTCTGGGGATCAACCGGCAACCCAGGCGGCCCATCGGGTGCATCAGACCCCGGCAGGGTAGTTAATGGGGATGAGGGAGCGACGCGTGGCGCGAATAAAGGTTTCAACCGCGAAGTGTGGACGAACCAGCGGCGCAAACCCGACTGGATACGTACACATTGAGGGCTCCGTATCTCGATCAACTCAACAAGCCCCTGCCATGGCCTATGTAATTTTGGAGAGGTACCCACCGGTACCTGGGGACAGTGGATCCAGGCCCGGTCGCCCAGGACCCATGGCATCTCACGTTGCGATCGACGAGCGCACCGCTCCTTACGGGCCTGGGTCCTCGCCGTAGCAAGTCTCGCCGCCTCCCGCGCTTCCATGACCCGGCGAATTGAATTGCGGACATGTTCTGGCAAGCTTAGTGCAGGTTCCTTAGCAGGCGTCCCTAATTGCACATCAATCGGCTGATACGTTTTCCCGACCGTACATGAGGAAAAACGGTGAGTAACCCATGGAGGCGTGCGGGGTCATAGGGTAGGCAGACAGTACGCTAGGAACGTGAAGGTCCCATTCGGCCTGTTTTTTGTGCACCGTGTGACAAAGCATGGCAGACAAGGTATGGTTGAACCGTTCTACCATTCCGTCCATTTGCGGATGGTAGGGTGACGTGCGTATCTTCTTAGTGCCCAAGGCGTCACACACGTCACGCAACAATTTTGATGAAAAATTTCTGCCTTGGTCAGTGAGTAGTCGTTCCGGAGCCCCCTGGTCCATCACATAACTGTTCACGAACGCATCTGCAATGGACGCCGCCGACTGATCGGGCAAGGCCCAAGCCATCGGCAAACGCGAAAAATACTCCATCCCAACCAACAGAAATTTGTTGCCCCTGGCAGAAGGAAGAAACGGCCCGAGGATATCAAGAGCTACAAGCTCATTAATTCGAGTAACCTTAATTGATTGCAAGGGTTGAATATATTCTGGGCGTGGGGGTTTTCTCCGAGCACATTCAGGACACGTCTGGATGGCCCTGGCGACATCAGGCATCATGCCAGGCCAAAAATAATCCCTTTGCATTGTGAAAAGTGTTTTCTGCACGCCAAGGTGCAACAACTTGTCAGTGTGCAGTGTCCGAACCAGTTCCTGTCGAAGCATAACGGGAACCACCAGGCACCAATGGCCCAGCATGTCATCTTGCCACATC